CAAAAATGTTGTAAAACCCAAGAAAAAGAGTTTTCTAAGCTGTCACCTTAAAGGAATTACAGTGCCACTTTAAATAATGACCACAAAGGTATCCAGTGGAGTCTGTTAGCGGGAAGGCAATAACACAAAGGGATTGCCCAGGTGATGGGGGAAAACAACAAAGTTCACCATAGATTTTTCAACAAAATACCACAGTGTAAGATAATGAATAACAGCAGCAAAGCAAAGGAAGGCCCTGACAGCGTGGGTGAAATGCTCCCTTGCCATTTTGTCTTCAGTGGGTTCTGAAATAAAGGACCTGTCGGTTTGTGTTCTTTTCTCCAACACCCCTAGTTAATCTCAACAGAGGTGGAGTTATTGTAACGTACATAAAAAGTTCAAACTGAGTAAAATAATATCAGAAGGGACGTTGGTGTCCCAGAGGACAGTTTGGCTCATAGGTGGCAAAGCAGAGAGAGAGAAAAAGGACTGCATTCAACTAATTTTTCAGTTCTGTCTTGGAATCGTTCTGAACAATAATAGCTTACTCTCTAAAAGGTTATACAGAAATTAAAATATGTTAAAACCTGTTTTAGATTTTAACATTTTGATTTTTAAAAAAATTTCTGTGATACATCTTTTAATTAACTTCCCTTTAGAAAATTTTCTAAATCAATGAATATTTTATTGTTTGTGCTTCTTCTGAAAACTATATTTGAAGTTAATTTCTGGTTGTTTTATACCTAATATACCAAATTTACAATAAATAGAAGAAAAACTATAATTGACTGAGTTCATTTGCAGATTTTTTTAACAATGAGCAGTACAAAATGGTGGGTAAAAATTATAAAAATAGTCAAACTTCATACAGTATATTATATGGAGAAATTGCTTTTCCTTTGATATTGTAGTGGGAATGCTTATTGTAAAAAGATTTTTGTTGAAAGCTGCTGAAGAAGCTGAAAAGGTTTAATAACAAAACTGTTGATGCAAGTTAAATTTAAACTGCTGACTTTGGCTGAAAGTAGGACGACAAAAGTGAAACATCAGTAAAAAGATGCCAAAATAAATTAAAAATAAATTAAACTAATTAAAACTGACAAGAAAATGAGTAAACTTTCAAATAAGCAAAAAAAAAATTTGAACTTGAAATTTATTTTGAAAAGGCTAAAAAAGGCTGACACTAACCTAAAAGTAGCTAAAAAAAGGTAGCAGAAATGGCTGAAATTATCCCAAAGAAACATAAAGAGCACATATTTACTCATTTCAACTGTAAGAAGCTGAAGTTTTCACAAAGTTAGCTGAAGTAAAGCTCAAAATAACCATAAGGTAGCTGAAAACACAGAAAACAGCTGAAATTAGCAGAAAGCAGCAGCAGAAAGAAGCATAAAAAGCTTAAAATAGCTGAAGGAAGCCTAAAGAAAAAAGTATAAATCAGCAGAAGAATATCAGAAAAGATCAGAAGGATAATTTAAAAAGCAATAAATAAATAAATAATAAAAAAAGCTAACATTGACAAAATTGAATGAATTTGCTGAAATTAGCACAAAGACGTAGAGGAAAAAAACAACAGAACCAGAATAAAAGGTAAAAAGTAAAAATATTTCTGAACATTTTAAAGGAGATTGAAGACGGCTCCATTCATTTTTAATGAGGAAAAAAAAAGGCAGAAAAAGCTAAGTAACTCAAAAATATAAACTGCTGAAACACTAAAAGTCGTAGCCAGAAAGTCCTGAAGGAGCTGAACATTTTGATAAATAAATTGCTGAAATGGCACAAAAATTGTAGAAAAATTTACGTGCTGAAAAACGTACAGATGAAAAAAAGAGATCTCAGTAGTGTGAATGTTGTACAAGCGTTCACATAATAATTGGTAAAGGAGAAGAAAAAATTTAAGTTACTGTAGTTTGTGAGTGCATACTGTGCCGTGCTAATAAATGTTGGGCATAAACTAAAATCAACAAGCTTTTTTTTCCCCTCCAGATGGAGTTTCGTGTGTTGAGAGCAGTGACTCAGTCTTTGCGCGCAGGTTGCTAGTTGCCTCAAAGAATGGTGAGACATCAGACTTAACAAGGCATGAGAAAGTGCACTGCATACTTTCAAAAAGAAAGTTCAAACACAAATTGAATATGCATACTTTTTTACTTTTTTATTTTCCTCTGCCGTGAACTGATACTTATCCATCGAGGCTGTCATGGAGTGAGCTGTTAGCCAAACAAATGTCATTTAGTTTGTGCTCAAACCACTAAAAATAAGTAAAAAAAAAAAAAGAGAGAAAATGTCTAGACTAGAGTTTCTGTCAGGAAGTTATATCCAATTATCTAAGAAAATGTGTGATGTTTGGTCTGAACAATTTCATCTGGGAAAATGTTTCTTTCTGTCAAACTAAAAAATAAAAGCARATTTTTGTGCACAAGCTTGGTTTGAACATCTGGCCAGGTGACCACAGACAACAGATTTAGTATTTTAAACATTCCTTTGATATCTACATGATTAAGATAAAKCTCACAGTTTCAACCTATTTGAGAAAGAAATTATCATTTTAAAAATATTGAATAATTCAGGCAGTTATTTAAAAGTGCAACAACTTCACCAAACCCCTGTTTTCATATCTGGAAACCGGCTGAGGGGAGAAGGCTGCCAAAGACTTTTGCTCCTGATGTAAAGAGGAGAGAGAAAAAAATCATGTTGCTCTTTTCTGCCATCATCTTTGTTTAAACAATGTTAAAATGTCACATGAAAAATGCATGAACATGCTGAGGATCTCACCGCTCGTGCRATAAGAAGTGAGTGCACCGAGGCTTGCTCCGTCACACACGAGGAAGAAGCTCAKTGATAAAACTAATACAGTTGTCTTTGGGAAAAGGAAGACAAGGAATCACTTTTGGATTCACAGTGAGGCAGTTAAAGCTGCGGGATGTCATGTTGGTGTCTTAGCTTTGAGTAAACGTGAGTTTTACACATGAAGAGGATTTCATTGTGGCCCTGATGACTGCAAAACCAGCCCATATCATCACCCCTCCAGCACCGTGTTTAACAGCTGGTATGAGAGTCTTGTCTATTTTGATCAAATTTATTGCTTTGAAAGGCAAAGCTCTTGAATTATTGGTCTATTCCAACACTCACCTGTGGTCATGAGACGTGGATCATTGTGGATTATTATGTCCTGGTACGTAAAACCCTAGATTTAAAAGAAGGTGGACTTTTGATCTCTGTTGTTTGTACCTTAACGTGAGYTTTACTTTATGTGGTTTTGATCTAAGTGTTTGGGATTTTGTTCCAGCAGTGTTAACGCAGGGTGTCAGGTCTCCAAAATCCCTCAGGAGAAAACTCATGCTGCTAAGACAGAAGCTGTAGTGGTGACAAGAAAACTCAAATAAAGCTATAAAACATGTTTTATTTAAATTTGATCTTTGGGTAATGATTGAAAAAGCAAATTATAAGAGGACTAGATGAGTTTTCCCCACAGCTTGATGAGGTTCTCTCGGCTAGATCAGAAAATTAAACTTTTAAAAACATAAATTCAAATTTATTTCCTTTGCTCTGTCAGTGAAGGAAGCTAGCTGATGTGGTTGAAGATTATAAGAATGTCTTGTTATAAAGTTCTGCCAGGTGCGACCAGCTGGGCAGAGGTCCAGGTGACCCAGYACTTGGTGGTGGGATTATTTTCCCCCAGCTGGAAGTGTGAGAGGGTTCCTCAGAGTGATCCAAGCACATGAAGGCCTGTTCTTTTTTATTCTACTATTCTGACGCTAAAATTACTTTAGAGAATGGATGCGATTAGTGACACAATACAAAACTAAACACAACCGAGTCTAACTGCCACATATTAATCTGTTTTAAGGGAATGTTGGTGTAACCCGGAGTAAAATCATCCTCAAATTTGGTTCAGTCATGTGATCATAGTCACATGACTCATTCAGCCAACCACCTTGTGTGGAGTGTTAATAAGGCCTGCTCCAGCTTTCCTCAGTCAGGTGTGAGGGGGAGAGCTGGAGACAAAGCTGCTACAGATCTTAAACCCCAGTGAGCCTGGAGCCATGAAGTTGTCGTACATTGAACTGTGAAAGGAATTGGCCAGGTGACCCTTTTTGGGTTAAAAGGATGGCGAGCTACTGAAATCAGGCTGRGAGCCAGGAGAACCTGAAAATCCCTCCATACTGGTCTGGTTGKAGGCTGTTGCAGTCCGTGCTCTTTCCCCCTCCATCTCCTTACTGACTCTCAAAGTATTATTCATCCATCTCCTGTTGTGGACAATTGCGCATGGACAAACCTCAAAATCATGAAACAATAAAATCATGGACTCTTATTTTGTTGGGAAGTCAATTGGTGACTGTGCTAATCAGTGCCATTTAATTATGGGAAAATGMTGACTGTTTGGTTTTCTTTCATTTGCACAAAACTTTGTGCACATTACTTTGAAATTTGACCGCAGTGTTGTAAATATGTATTTTTTTATTTTATGGGTTATGTTTTATATATTTAATTGTTTTTGTGGTATTCACTTTATTTCTCCAAATACATGTTACTGCAACCAAGCTTCCTTTTTGTGGTGTTTTTATTGATTACTGACATCWGCTCCTGTAGTCGTTTTCCCAGTCTTCTGAGTCGATATATTATCTAACTTTTTAGTACCACAATTAGTGTTACATTATTGGCGAGCTAGCCAGGAGAAATAATGTTCATGGCTCCAGGCTCGCCGGTGGTTTAAGATCTGTAGCAGCTTTGTCTCCAGCTCTCCCCTCACACCTGACTGAGGGAAGCTGGAGCAGGCCTTATTAACACTCCACACAAGGTGGTTGGCTGAATGAGTCATGTGACTATGATCACATGACTGAACCAAATTTGAGGATGATTTTACCCTGGGTTTCATTAATCAGCTAAGTACCAGAATAAGAACAAAACCTTCCAGAAAAATGAAATAAATCTTCCTGCTTTTGTAGAAAAAGTATTCTGATAGCAGACTAAACAAGTTGGCACATAAATAACTTTTTATATGATGTCTTTCCTGATTCCTCCAGCGGTCGTGTGAAGCCGTTGCTCGGCCGGTTCAGTGAGCTTGAAGCCCTGCTGTCTAACGCGAACGTTAAGCCAGGCAGCGTTGATGCCGTCCTGTTGGATGCTGGCTGTTCCTCCATGCAGCTGGATCAGGCGGAGAGAGGCTTCGCCCTCAGCAAGGACGGGCCCTTGGACATGAGAATGGATGGAGAGAGGTGAGGCTTTTCCTGTCCTGTTGGGAGCTACTGGACCCTCTGAAATTACCTGAGTGCTCACTGGTGCTTTAATACAAAACTAAATAACAATAATAACCAGAGCAATTGCATTTCCTGCAAAAATGCTAGTGTGAATGCATATTGCTGAAAAATGTAGCTAAAAGCTAAAGTTAATTTAAATGCAAAATAAGTATAAAAGGCTCAAAATTACCAAAAAGAAACAAAGAAGCACAAAAAAGCAAATATTAGCAGAACGATAGCTAAAATAGCATAAAAGAAGCTAAAATTAGCATTTATATGAAGTTAAATTTAGCGGACACAAGTTAAAATTAGATTAAAGATGGTGAAAGTGGTGTAAAAAAACTAAATTTGCTGAAAAAAGAATGAAAGTACAAAAAAAGTTGCAATTTATTGTAAAATAGCTAAAACATTCAAAATATGCATTAATATGGCTAAAATGTAGCTGAAAATGCTGAGTTTAACATAAAGAGGTAGAATGAGCACGTTTGCAGAACGTAGCAGAAAGAAGCTGAAATTAGGCCTGTCACGATAACAAATTTTGCTGGGCGATTAATTGTCTCAAAATTTATTGCGATAA